GAATAGCATCAAGTGTTCTGGAACTCCCAATCATAAGTTGCACCTGAAGGTAGGAACTCCAGTAATGTTGTTGCGCAATATGGACCATTCTATGGGACTGTGCAATGGGACGCGATTGGTTGTGACTAAACTCTCTACTCATGTTCTCGAATGCAAGATATTGACGGGAGATCACGCTGGAGAGAATGTGTTGATTCCTAGAATGAATATTACTCCATCTGATACTAGGATTCCATTTAAGTTCCAGCGGCGACAGTTTCCACTTGTGATATCGTATGCTATGACCATAAACAAGAGCCAAGGACAGTCTTTATCGCATGTTGGTCTATTCCTGAAGAAACCGGTTTTTAGTCACGGCCAATTATATGTTGCTGTTTCACGTGTAACTACTAGAAGAGGGTTGAAGATATTAATTTGTGATAATGAGGAGTTACCCAATAACCAAACTCATAATATTGTGTACAAGGAGATTTTTAATAATATATGATTGTTTCGTGACGAAACAATCCTTTTTTTTGTAATAATGTTCCTACGTATTAAAATTATTTCGATCCTAATTCATGCCATATTTATTATTCTCCAAAATTTTACATTCCGTGCAACGCACGGGTTTTGCACTAGTTACTTTGAAACAGCTATACATTTACTCGGTTCCTGGATCGGGTTTTATGTGCCGCGCGCGCCACGTGCTACTACTTGATACCGTACACCGTATATTTCGAAAAACACAAAGACTAGTCGTGGCTCCATTCCATATAAGGTTGTTCCAAAAATGGCGTCATCGCTCATGCTTCATCTCTGGATATGATGCTCCATCATGGTTTATTAGACTATTTTCCTAAGCAAATTAAGATGAAAAAATGTCTAAATATGATTGTGTCCAACCGATTCGAGTTCTTTTCATTTCTAACATTTTCTTTTTAATGTAAATTTGAAGGGTGATAGATACTTGAATAACAATGTTTATAATAAAGTAGGCTTCACATATAGATTTTTTTTTTTTTTTTTTTAATTTATTGCACTTATTTGTCTCAAGTTTATACGGAATTTACCAACTTTAAAGTACAAAATACAAACAACCTGTATACGGGTTAGAAGAGTGATGTAGGGAAACGTATGAATGAGAAAGATAAACAAACGAGATACTCTCTCGATAAAACTCACAATCTCATTTTTCATTCAATAATCAACTAATGAAAATAAAATAGAGGGAGTCCTTTATATAAGGCTCCTAACCCTAGACCTAACTTGTCCAACAAGACAAGAGCTCTTATTAAATATTAAACAATCCATAACTTATTCTCTAAGATATCTAATAATAATAATAATAGATATGTCTACACCATTCTCCCCCGATTGAGCAGGATTCGCCCTCAAATCCGACCCGTTCCCGTTGGAGTCGTCCTCAAGACAACAACAGCCCGAACGTTTCCCCAATTGAACACGAAGGTTGAAAGTCGTCCAACAATCTCGAAGGTAAACATAATCTCGATCAAGGATTCAACTGCCGCAAAGTCACATGTACACGACACCCGACGCAAAGTCCACACAACCGAAAGAACACAAAATAGACCACCGCGTTCACCGCACATAAATCTATAACTACGGCCAAGCATCCCGGTGTTGGGACACTTCGGAAACAACAATCGAAAAATGGCCCACCAGTTATGGAGTCTCGGCTTCGGCTCCGAAAAACCATCTTTGGCCAAAATACTCAAAAAATTGGGTGTGAATGATGGCTGCCCATTCGAACACTCAACCGTTGCGACGTCCCACGTGGGACCCATATTACTGCAAAAATATGTCTTCGTCACCGGAGGCTCTTCATCAAAAATTGGCGGACCGTCGTAGATATCGCACGTGTCGGGCTCAAAATTCAGGGAATCTATAAACTCGAAGTCAAAGCCTGTTTGTGGCTGTTCAGGCCCAAAATAAGGTTTAAATCGATCCTTCCCCTGAGCCCAATAAATTGAATTGGGCTGTCCTTGCGCAGGCCCAAAAACGAAATCACCCTCACAAGCCCAAAAAATGCTTTTGTGAGGCCCAGAAGTGCGATTGGAGTCGTCTATTTCACACGCCCAAAATCCGCCTCCAAAGCTCCCTGCCCGCTGTACTTGTACTGGATCTTTGCTCAATCCAAGAAATTGAGCACCGCCGTTCCCAATCTCGTTCTCGCTGCCTCAACACGCATCACGACCGCCGTCACCAGCGACACCTACGGCAGCGCGCCGCCGGTCGCAAAAACCAGATTCAGCAAAATCCGTCGCTGCCCAGCGTTGGCCCCGCCGCGCCTCGCGGCCTCCATTGTCGGTAAAACCAGTTGGGTGCTGCCGCCAATCGAGCTCGTCGGTCGTGGAAAAGCCCTCAGCGGCCCAACACGCCTCGCGGTAAAGGAAGTTGCTGCCGTCGGCAACGGTTCGAAGCCCCTCCTGCGGCCACCTGCGCGCTCTGTCCTTGCCTTCATTAGCTCGACGGAAATCACCGTCTAGGGTTCCGTGCGACCCTCCACCTGCTGCAGGTCACCGAAAATCGCCGCCTAGGGCTGTGCGATTGGGCGAAATTTGGTACGCAAAACCCTCCTCCGGCCGCTGCTTGTTGCGAAATCGGACCGCACCTAGGGTTTTCTCGTCGTCGCGGTCGCCTCCATGTATGAAACTACCTCCAGGCCACCGCTGCTCGCAAACTCGGGGCTGACCTGTGGTTTCGTCTCCTCGCCATGGTGGTCGATGTGCCAATGGGTTAGCCGACCAGGTAAAGTCACCATCCTTGATGCCGTTCAGAGGTGGTGGGGATCGCTGTCGGGGCGCCCCGACATGGTTGCGTCCCCCACAGCCGCCTCTGTCTCCCCCGCGAAAGCCACGGCCCACAGCCCCTTCGCGGTTCGTCTGCAATTCCGAAACAATCACGTTGTTAAGCGTCAAATGCACATCTTCGATCCCCGTCGAAAGATCGGCAAACCAATCCGTGAAACGCACGTCCAATTGTTCAAATCGGTAGTCGATCTGTTGAAACCGATCGTTGAAGGTTGCGTCACGTCGTTCGTCTACGGCATCTTCTCGTCCCGACGACATCGCGAATCGTACTGACTGCTGATACCAACTGATGTAGGGAAGCGTACGAATGAGAAAGATAAACAACCGAGATACTCTCTCGATAAAACTCACAATCTCATTTTTCATTCAATAATCAACTAATGAAAATAAACTAGAGGGAATCCTTTATATAAGACCCCTAACCCTAGACCTAACTTGTCCAACAAGACAAGAGCTCTTATTAAATATTAAACAAGTCATAACTTATTCTCTAAGATATCTAATAATAATAATAATAATAATAATAATAATAATAATAATAATAGATATGTCTACACCAAAGAGATATATGCAAGTTTTTTTTTTTAGCACTTTTATGTTCCATACGCATTTTGGAAGAGTTATATAGGCAAATCTTGTTATTTTTTTTTAACAGTTTTCAAGTTTCTATAATCCTTTTCTTAAATATTAACACTGTAAAATTGGGCACCTGGTTAAATATTCATTAAATACTAATAGAATTTGATTATTTAAGTCTGACAAAATATATGATTCGAGCACAAATTTTTATGTGAGGCTGGTGAATTGTTAGGTCGATCAACTATCACACTCAGTGAACAAAAGTGTATACGTATATCAATAAATGTCATAGAATGCTAACATAATAGTTAGGTTAGTCTAACACAAGAATTAATGTTGATCGTATAGTATTAAACCTAAATATACTTACAAAATTGGTCAAGTGTTCATTGGATATGGTTATCACAAAAATTCCCAATTAACGAACACAGAGGTAACTAGGACATATGAATATATCCCTAACTACATTCCTCTTCTTGTAAGTTGTATCAAGTAATGCAATATAATTGTATAAAACATATTATATTGACCAAATAATTCAACCCAATACTATCCATAAAAATCCAGTCAAACACCATCCAGAAAAACAAACAAGTCCCTTGAATACCAAAGGCCACCAGCTTAGAGGATGACATTACCCTGAATCTTTGGGATTTTTTTTTTTTTTTTTTTTTTTTTANTCAAGAATCTTTGGGATTTGCATAGCACACAATCTTTTTAGTTTTGGACTTAAGTAGCCATATCATTAGCCATTAAACTTAATTATTTTAGGGTAATTCATAAACCTTAGCAAGACCAAAATATGAACCTTAGGTAGACGAAGTTCTGGCCAATTAAAACTATAGTCATAGTTTAATTTCTGTGATTGAAACTTGAAAGTATCTGCTGACTAGTAAAAGATTCTCATTTAAGGATCGATGACCAATAATTTAATTCTTGTTAGTTAAATGATTAATTATCTTCCAAGAATAAATATGCTTATAAAATCAGCTGAAACTCGTGTGGCTGTGCGCGCATGTGGTTGAATTACTCTGCTCATCAGTAAGCTAATTCATAAATAATAGATAATAATATTATTATAAGAGTCTCATCAGTAAGCTAATTCATAAATAATAGATAATAATATTATTATAAGAGTCTTCAGTCGTGAGCCATGACAAAATCTAGTCATGCCAGCAACTTGACACCAATGTCACAATTTAAAAGTATAGAAAAAAAAACATCATAAATTACAATTGTAGATGGAGATCATTCAACTACTCGTGCAATTTTCTTGAAATAATGTACATAAAATCTTAGTTCACAGATAATAGAAGATTTTTAATTGATTAATTGATCAATTAATATTTAAATTAGTAACAAGTTCAATAAACTAATTACTGTAACATAACTACAAACTAAAGATCGCCCTCTTCCTATTCTCTTCTTCGATATGGAAACAAAATCAAAGGTTCATTCTTTTCTTTCTTGTTTTTCAGTTCCTATCGAGAGCAACATGGCTTAATAAACAAAAAATAGAAACTTGTAGTGCAGCCATTTGAGTTTTTTCTTTTCTTAATATAAATAGAAAAATTTCAAAACTAGACGCATTATTCGAAAACTCGATGTTTAGGGAATATCCAATTGAGGCGAGGATTGTGAGTTGGCCACATTCTGTGACCGGCTTTTACAAGAGTCATCCGCTTGTGAAGCCAAGTAGTCGAGCGTGGTCGCCGCATCACTTATGGCGGGCTGTGCACTCGCTTGCTCTTGAAGGCACATCGAGGCAATGACAACCGCGTGGCGAAGGCTCTTCACCGAGAAATTCACTTCGAACAGTGGGTCACCCATCTTCAAAAAGTTCTTCCGGTCCTTTATCAATGGCGGTGACTGCACGAAAATTTATGGTTACTAACACTTACACTAATCGACCAACGAAAGTTGACATGTGTCAACACATGATAGGTCCATCAAGGCTGTAAGATTAGAGAAATAGAGGAAGAGGGTGCGATCTCACGCAAATGAAGCACACCATAAGATGGTGATCCTAGGTGCAACAAAGAAAAGTCCATCCCAAAACCAATTGGTGATGGGAGGAGTAGGCCACTAGGCATATAAGTTAGGCCCAATTTTCCTATTGAATCAATGTGTGACAACTCACAAGTGACACTCCAACAAAGACGAGCGAAAAATGCGATTATCACATCAAATAATAATATGAATAATAATAATAATAATAAACAGAATCTCAAATATTCAATATTTACACTCACCCACACGACAAGATTCTGCTCGCCGGGCTTTTTGCTAAAGTCGATGGCCTTGCGGCCCGTGATGAGCTCAAGCAGCCACTCCAAAGCTGTAGATATCCGACTTCAAAGTAAGTTTGCCACTCATGGCATACTCGGGCGCACAGTATCCGTATGTCCCCATCACTCGGTTCGGCACATGGCTATTGTCCCCAACGGGCCCAAGCTTGGCCAGCCCAAAATCCGAGAGCTTCATATTATACTCATTGTCCAAAAGTATGTTAGACGCCTTCAGATCACGGTAAATCACAGATGGGCTGGGCTTACAATGCAGGTACTCAAGCCCACGGGCTGTTGTCGTATCATCCCAAGATCATACTCATAATTGAGAGAAAAATAAGTTTCTATTACTCACAAGAATAAAAACAAGAGATTTAGAAACTCTAAAAAAACTCTCAACCCTCCACAACTCTACTTGGTTGTCTTTCAACACTCTCAAGGTTGATTGATCACACTCTAGGATGGTTTGAATGAATGAAATGAGGACTCTATTTATAGGTACAAGAAAGCACACCATTATTAACAAAATGGTGTGAAATGAGAAGGTTTGGTGGAAGGTGGAGGCTAGCCGTCTTCTTCATTGGTGTGCTGCAGCTATTCTTCATTGGTGTGCCTTCCTGCTGCATGGAACTATCAATTCTCTCCTTTCCATGCAAGTTCTGAACAAGCATTCCTACTATGTCATTGCATAGCTTAAGCTTATCCAGTGTAACCACTTTTGTTAACATATCTGATGGATTATCCTTCATATTGATCTTCACTAGTTTCAACAACTGTTGATCAATCTTCTCGCGTATCCAGTGATACCGAACATCAATATGCTTTGTGCGGGCATGTACATAGAGTTCTTGCTCAAGTCAATAGCACTTTGACTATCACAATATACCTTATACTCTTTCTGCTTAATCCCAATTTCATGGAGATAGCGTTTTAGCCACAACATTTCTTTACCAGCTTCAGCGGCAATAATATATTCAGCGACAACACACTTCTGCAATCTTGATTGCCAAGAAATGGTTCCCCCTGCAAAAGTATAGACATAACCCGAAGTAGACTTTCGACAATCAATATCTCCGGCCATATCAGCATCAGTATATCCTTCCAAGATTGGATCAGCTCCTCCGTAACAAAGACATAACTTAGAAATACCCTTCAAGTATCTAAGAATCCATTTAACTGCCTCCCAATGCTCCTTCCCGGGGCTAGAAAGAAAACGACTCACTACACCCACTGCATGAGAAATATCTGGCCTTTTACATACCATTGCATACATCAGACTTCTAACTGCTGAAGAGTATGGCACTGCAGACATCTCCCCTACCTCTTCCTTGGATGTCGGACATGATCTTTTGCTCAACTTGAGATGATTCGCAAGTGGAATACCGATTGGTTTGGCATCACTCATATTAAATCTTTCAAGTACTCGTTCAATGTACTTCTTTTGAGAAAGCCATAACTTGTCGTTCTCTCGGTCTCGAGTAATCTGCATCCCAAGAATTTGTTGAGCCTTTCTTAAATCTTTCATATCAAAAGACTTGGAAAGTTCTTTCTTCAGCTGACTTATCTTCTCTGCATCATTCCCAACGATCAACATGTCGTCGACGTACAGTAGAAGAACTATGAAAACTCCGTTTGAGTATCTCTTGATGTAAACACACTCATCTGCAGTAGTCTTCTTGTAACCTTGACTCTGCATGCATGAGTCAAACTTCTTATTCCACTGCCTTGGTGTCTGCTTCAGACCATACAAGCTTTTAGATAGCTTGCACACGAGGTTCTCACTTGAAACCTCAAAACCTTCTGGCTACTGCATATAGATTTCTTCTTTCAAATCTCCGTGAAGAAAAGTTGTCTTCACATCCATATGTTGCAGCTCCAAATTCATACTTGCTGCCAAGCCAAATATGACTCGAATTGAGGTCATCTTGACAACTGGTGCAAAGATCTCGTCAAAATCAATCCCTTTCTTCTGTTGAAAGCCTTTGACAACTAATCAAGCTTTGTGTTTCACCACTTGTCCATTTGCATCTTTCTTCAGATTGAACACCCATTTGTTTTTCAAAGCCCTTTTCACTTCTGGAAGTTTAACAATCTCATAAGTTTGATTTTTCTGCAGAGAATCTAACTCTTCCTACATCGCAATCATCCATTTTTCTTTATCCTTATGAGATATGGCTTCTTGAAAACTCTCTGGTTCTCCATCTTCTGTCAATAGAAGGTATTCAGATGATGAGTACCTTTTTGATGGTATATGATCTCGTTCAGATCTATGAGTGGGTAGAGCCATCTAAGAAGAACTTCCAACGTTGGTGTCTGGTAAATGGGTTGTGGCTCTCATTGCTCTGGCAAGATGAGTTGTTGCTCCCCTTGCTCTGCATTCTCGTCTGTCTCTTCCTCTTCTTCTGGTACATTATCTTCATTGTTTCTCCAGAACAATTCTGGTGCTTTATCTGAAACTTGAGCACCCACATTTGACTTTTGAGACATCTTGGGTTTTTTCATGTCTTCTATTATCAAATTTTCTTGGAACACAACGTCCCTACTTCTGATCACCTTTTTCTCCTTTGGATCCCAAAATCTGTATCCAAACTCTTCATCTCCATAACCAATGAAAATGCATGGGATGACCTCGCATCGAGCTTCTTTCTAAGCTCTTTGGATACATTTGCATATGCTACACAACCAAATACTCTTAGATGTGAGTATGTTGGATCCTTACCAGTCCATATTCTCTCTGGAACTTCAAAATTTAATGGAACTGAAGGTGATCGGTTGATTAGATAACATGCGGTCTTGACAGCTTCTCCACAAAATGGCTTCGGTAATTTAGCTATATTCATCATGCTTCGGACATGCTCCATGAGAGTCCGATTCATTCTTTCAGCAACGCCGTTGTGTTGAGGGGTATGTGATACTGACTTCTCATGTCGAATGTCATATGTCCTGCAATATGCATTGAACTCCTTGGAAGTATAAGATCGGAATATTTCAACTTCTTTCCTGTTTCACGTTCCACCATGACGTGAAATGACTTGAAGTACTCGAACACCTGGTCCTTTGTATTCAGGAAATATACCCACACCTTTCGAGAAGCATCATCAATGAAAGTCAGAAAATATCTGCTTCCACCAAGTGATTCAACCTCCATGGTACCGCAAACATCAGAGTGTACCAAGCTTAACAACTCTGACCTCTTTGTTGAATTTGCATTAAATGAGACTCTATGCTGCTTGCCGAACAGGCAGTGACTGCAGGAACTCAACGCAGCACTCTTATCAACCTTGATAAGATCCTTCTTCATCAGGGTAGTCAACCCTTTCTCACTCATATGGCCAAGTCTCTGGTGCCATAGATCTTGGGAAACCTCCTCTACAACATTGAGACTTTCTGTACTGATCTTCAAATGTGTTTTGTACAGCGTCCCACAAACATGTCCTCGGGCAATTTTTAGAATACCCTTTGACAACATCCATGTGTCTGCACCAAAGTGATTTTCATATCCTAGAGCCACCACTGACAAAAGATTCAGTTTAAGATCCGGCACATGTCTAACATCCTTCAGTAGGATTGTACTCCTGGTTCCTGTCGTTGCCTGGATATCACCAATTCCGGTAATTTCAGAGGAACTAGAATTTTCCATCTTCACTGATCCAAAGTCTCCAACTTGGTATGTTGTGAAGTATTTCCTGTTGGGAGTAACGTGATAGGATACTGCAGTATCTACCACCCATTCCATGTCTTCTCTTGAGAAATGAAGGCATGTCTTACCATGAGTAGAGCAATATGCTACCTCACCTGAGACAGTGATGAGAGTTTCACCACCCTTGCCCTTGTTCTTCTGCTGAGAACTATTCTTTGGCTGAGAATTGCTCTTGCCTTGCTCCTCGAGCCATTTATAGCAATTCTTCTTCATATGATCTTCTAGACCACAATGATAACACACATGTGATCTCCGATCATCTGATTGCCTCCCCATGCTTCTACCCCTGCTTTTTCCTCTATCGCTTCTTTGTTGCTTGCCTTGTGTTCTTCCTCGATTCTCCATTATAAGGGCATGGGTTGTTAGTGTTATATACTGAAAGCTTGGCTTTGCATGATATTATACATTTACCCTTTATGAATGAGAATCATGTTAGATTAAACAAGTTCTACGTTCTGTTGTTCTGCACTTAGATAGGGTGGGTCGTCATCGGGCGAACCGAAGATCACTCTATCAGTCACTTGCGAACAAGAATAGTTGTTCACAACCTAGATGGACATGAACACCCCATCCGAACGGTTGTAGTGTCAACTGTACAGTTTGTCTTGACTGATTAGTTGCACTAGTACATTTATGTATTGAACAGGATCCCAGAGAGGAGAAGTTCATTTTATACTGATCGTCGTAAATGAACTAGGCCTCGGTTAATTACTGCGTTCTCTTAACCCGTAAGATATTAAACAGGCAGATATATATAATATATATTACTTTGATTCACATGGGTGAGGTTCAGTTCGCTGGATTAATATTCCTACTGTTTTGGGTAATATTATTATATATAGGATGTGCTGTTAGGATATTTACGGTCACCATGTGCGTTAGTTTGATGATGTCCCCGGAGTGAGTTCATGAAGGATTGTTATGCTAAACCCTGCAGGTGGATTAAATTCCGGCATAATAAGAATGTGATGAACGAGCGCTAGCTTCGGTGAAATAATAATAAATTAATTAATTCTTGATTGTCAGTAATCGAATTAATTAATGGACATTATATCTTAAACGTGGGGAGGTAAATCGAGTAATTATTATTGGAGTCTCAAATGTAATTTGGGCTAGGGAAAGGGAGTGCAATAATATAATGTTGGTGGCCCATTAATATTATTTAATTAATTAGAGGAGTGGGTTTGGCCCACAGTTAGTCTAATTAATTAAGGAGCCCTTTTCCTAATCTCCTTAGGGTCCCTACTGTAGCTCTATATATACATCATTAAGCTCATGAGAAGAGAATAGAATTCATTCTCACGTGAAACACGCCTCTCTCTCTAGATCTCATTCGAGCTTTATCTTCTTCTTGTTGCTCCACTGGTACAAGTTGAAGAAGGGTGTATTGAGTAATACAGTAGAAGATCTGTAGGTAAACCGAGACGAAATTGATTTTGACCTACAGAACTAACCGGAAGTCCGATTGAGACGTACAGTATACCCAGACGACCGTCTCGACGAGAGCTTTCCATCGCCGCCGACGTCGC